CACATTTCTGTTCTGATTTCATTTTCAAGCAATCAAGATGAGCGAATTTATTTTTTGAGGATGCAAATTTTTTTAAGCAAAAATCGAATTTTTTGCTGATGAAGCAAAAGGTTTTCTAATGTGAATTGGTTTTTAAAGGATGACGTTAGCATATTTGATGCTGTCTAAGGGAATTGTATGAGCTAGGCTAGATCGGAGACTTCTAGAGAATTGATGTCTTAGTTAATTTAAATCAAGAAATCTCATTGTGCACATTTGTGAACACAAACTTAGAGTAACAGTTTGTAGTGGACCCGAACCACTGCTTTGATAGCATTATTGCCTGGAGCTTATAATGTAAGACTGTGAGCTTCATTTCCAATACATATGGGCCAAAAAGGGATAACCGAAAAATTTCTCATGCCGAGTCTTGAACTCATGATCGCTGTGTTGGTTTTGCAGTAATTAGGTACCTAAGGATTAAACCATTCCACCACCGAGTCAATTCAGCTCGCAGATTATGCTCAAAAATTTGAGTTATGCTTAGTTTGACCAGATATTTTTTGAAAAAATTGAGAACCTGAAAGTAAAATAAAGGACATCCCACGTGTCTACCAATTTTATTCGTTTTTTGGAAGAACACATCAAAACTATTTTATATAGATATTAGATAATATGCCTTGTTATCCCAGCAAGAAGCGACTGCTACATGGTCTTCACTATTCTATCAACTTATAAGTTCACAAGCATTAATAATTGCCATACTAAGTCGTAAATAATGTAAAATGAAAAATTAATGACTAAATTTTAAGTGAAGTCAAAGGTTCAAATCCTTAAATAAGAAGATAATCTTTGTTAATCGAACATTCAACCTTTAGTTTTTTTTTTTGATTTTTTTGAGAAAACTTTTGCATCCTCAAAAGACAAAGAAAAGTCTAAAATCGTCTTCAAAGCTTAAAATAAATTTTTCTATTTCCATTTAACTTTAAAAGTACTTAAGAATGAAACAAAAAAATGATTTTCTACATCATTTGAACAAAAGAAGAATATAAACAAAAAAATAATTGAGTCGCGTCTCTTATTGACTTATAAAAAAACTTAAATCAGAAGAAGGAACAAAAATAAAAATAAATTTCATTCCTCTTTAGCTCTAAATTCTATTTCAAAATTCTCTATTTCTATTTCTTCAGAATGTGGAACTCATTTTTTAAAAAAATGAAATTTGTAAGATAAAAAAATTATTTTAAATTATAAGTGTGAGCAATGCAGAGTGGCATGAAAATGGATGTGGTAATCGAGAAGCGAGGAAGTGGTGGATGTGGTCTGTAGAGTCATGAAAGGCTCGAAGCAGGAAGTACTGTGCTGCTCGGGAATCTGAGCGACACAATTTGGCTACCAGGATAAAGATTAAACGCTATGATAAAGACAAACTTTAGGAAGGCAAGACCTGGATGGTTCAGTTGAGTCTCAGACATACTTCACTAATTTCCAGCTCTATAAATAAATTTTAAACTCGATGTCAGAACTTTTTGACCAAAAAAAATCCACAATTTCTCATTTTCATGTCACTCAAAAAACTACATAACCCCTCCAAGGGATGGAAACTTTTCAATAGAATTTAAATTTGTTGAATAAAAAAAATAGAATTAAAATGTAAAATTGTGGGCAGTTAGCTCCAATTCGGTATTAATAAGTAAGTTAATTGATAAATAAAAATTTTTGAGACAGTTACCATCCCTTGTAGTTGGAGTCAAAATTCGCAAATAATTAAGAAACAATTTGTAAATTTTACAAGACATAATTTAGAATTTAGACTTAATTTAATTAAGAAAACAAAAAAAAGTTTATAAAAATTTTAAAAATCATAAAAAAGTGAAGTAATAGGCAATTGTACTATGTTTGTTGTTGTTCCATTTTCGGAACTTTTTTTGACATATAAAAAAAGTGAAACAAATTAATAAAAAAAGAAATTTCAAAGTCATTTTTCGATTTAATAAATTTAAACTTAATTCACGCATCCACAAAACATGATGAATCGTAAGACATACTCGCCATTAAGGTTAAAAATTGTAAATATCTAAATGGAAATTAATGAGAAAATTTGAATCGACGCTTTCAAGAAAAATATTAGAAAAATAAAAAAAAGGAACAAAAATGAAGAAAATAAAAAATTCATTTCCTTTCAACATTTTTAATAGCGCAATAATTTATCATTTTTAATGACGCATCATTATTCATCCCCAAAAGTCAAAAAACATAATTCACATCTACAACACATTAATTCACGAGGTGTTGAAATAATTGTCTTTTCAGACCTGAATTTGTGATACTCATTTATTATGACTCTTTTGTTATTTTTCCGGTGCATCAATGCTCGTAGGCTTTTGGTATCCAAATTCTTGACATTGTCTGTTATTTTTTTGAGTTTGTGAGCCCTCGGAAAATTTATGACTACTTCCGAAAGTTTTGTTTTGTTTCTCTGTTGTTTGAGAGAGGCGATTTAATGTTTTTTAAAAGTTTTGAAGGTTTTGATTCCGAGCGGTACACGACAGGCACTTATTCAGTATAATACAGTGTTTTGGTGGAGTCATGGTCTCAAGCTAGGGTTGGTTTCTTTGGTATATCTTAAAAAACCACAAACATGCTGCATTGACATTAACTCGGTACCGAAATTCAAATTTTTAACAAGCTGTAAGCTAGCTCTGCTTAAACTCAACTATAGATCTGACTCCAAACTATGACTTCATTATAGTTGTGACCCGAGTAACACAAATCCAACATGAGAGCCACATTGCATCCACTATAATTAAGAGGTCATCTTATCGTTTACCTCTGAAGTAGCAAAGACGAGCAGCTTGTGTGTACCACTCCGATTCATTACCCAACTTACACTTAGATCTCTGAGAAATATCCTAAAATGCAAGATCAATCCATACATTGTCTCAATGATTAGAAATTGATGGATATTCCCAGCATATTTCTAATAGGATCTATATCCCATCATATCTAAAATAATCGCTACGTCTCTCAATTTCTTCATCATATTATAACTAATGCTCAATAATAGATTTATCAATCAATCGTGACAACCGAAAATCATTCACATTAACAATAAATGTTCAGGTTTGACTCGCAAAAAAAACATAAAATTAAAGATATTCTGTTTTACAATCAATCACATAAGATCGATAGTTCCCTATTTACCTTTACAGAATAAAAAGTTGTATGAGATAAGAATTAACGAAAAAAAAATAATAAAGTTAAGGAGAAAATTCTTTTCGCACATTGATTAAGAAAAATAAGATCAATAATTGATGAAAATAATATAAAATAATTTGAAAATTACATTAAGAATTCATGCCAATTAATGCAATATTAAACATATAAAAAGAAATGTTTTTATACCAAAAAAAGTAAATGATAGAAAATTATTTGAAAAACTGTCAAGGCACAATTTTACTGATGTAAGAAAAATTTCATTCATTGCATGACTTTTATGGACAAGTGTGTTGAGGAGATCTGAGTTCCAACAATATATCCACATGTCTTGAATAGAGAGCATCAGAAGGCAGGAATATTTACATGTAGATTGAATGACTCAAAGCAAGAGTTGTCACTTTGGTTGGTGGTTTAAATTAAAATATGATGATCAAGTAACTGTCTTGAAGTTGGCGTTATACTAACTTCAAAAAACTTGAAGTTGGCTTCAAAAAGCTTGAAATTAACCTCAACAAACTTGAAATTGGCTTCAGCAAACTTGAATCAGACTTCAACAAACTTGAATCAGACTTCAATAAACTTGAAGTTGGTTTCAAAAAACTTGAAGTAAGTTTCAAAAAACTTGAAATTGAAGTTTGTACTTGCAGTACAAAATCATCAATATACCACCAACATAAACCTTAACTCCTCTTGCTTGAACTCATGAAAATGAGCTGATTAGATGGAAACATTTGAATAAATTTCATGAAAATTTCCTTTGAAAATGTGAATTGAAAATGCTCAGAAAAATGTTTCATGAAAATAAATTTCAAAAATTTCCTCAATCAAGAAATTTAAATTTTGAAGGTAAAAAAGGGTCACAAAACCGTGCACACAAAACAAAACAAGAATTAAAAATTAATAAAGCCCAAAAAAAGAGAAAAATGATTTTTTCAAAGAATTTTCATCATAATGATGTGTTTTTTTTCTAATACAAAAGAAAAGTAAATTAAATAAATTAATAAATGAAAAAGTTTTTTCACTCTCATTGTTATTATTTTTTGGATGATGCCCATTCATAATAATTATTCATATACAAATAGTTAGTCACAAATTTGTGAAAAAAGATGTAAGTTAAGAGAAGAAATTAAATTAATTTAAAATTATTGAATGAAAAGATTAATAAATTTTTTCGAAAAAAGTTTCATTATTAAAAATGTTTCAAAAATTGTAAAAAAAAAATTGAAAAAAAAACTTCCACGTGGAAGTTGCAAAAAAAATTCTTTTCATCAACACAAAAACGAGGTATTTTTAAATATAAAAAAAAAATGTGAAGAGAAACAAAAAATATTAGCAGAAAAAAATTTAACTCACATTAATCAGTCAGTCATCAGAGAGAAAAAATTTGACTTGACAGGAAGGCAAAAATTAGCGTTTAAAAAGAAAAACTAGCCAAAACTGATGAAAAAAAAAATGGGAGAATTAAATTTAAAAAATTAGAATGAATGAAAAAAATAAATAAATTTAAAAATTTTTGCGCAAATTTAAATGCGTGTAAATTAAGAGACCACAAAAAAATAGTCAAGAAAGTGAAATTTTTTTGATTTGTGTTTAATTTAAATTTTATTTAATTTAATAAAAGTGAAAATGAAAAATTATCAAAATTTAATCGTTTTTTTTTGTTTCGACTTTTCTTTCTTTTTCAGTGATTTCTTTAAAATTTCAATTTTCAGGACAGGAACTGTTACTTTTGTAGATTTCCCCAGTTGCTCTAGAATACAGTCATTCTAAAAAGCTAGTTTTTACCTAATTCAATGCACCGTTCAATTTAGTAAAGGATCTTTCTTAATCTCCTGATTCAACCTCAACGAAAATACTTTTTCATCATCTTTAAAAATATACATTTCAAATCGAACATTTCCACTTGGAAGTGCTTTATAAAGTTCTTTTGTGTCAGCTGTAACATTAGAAATTTCCATATCACCTTCTAGTGGACATTTCTGAAACACATTACGTATTCCAGGCTGATGTCTAATCATATCCAGAACAGCTTTCATAAAAATATTTGTTGAATCGCCGTCCATAAAATCGCACCATTCCTGTTTTTGAGAATTCATAATTTCGCGAAAATTGATTCCAAATTGAAAGGATGCTATAAATTGTACAAAAACAGGCTTGTAGACTTTTTGAGGTAGATGAATTAAAATATTGATAACAGTGTCAGTTCTTGAATAAGATTTCACATAGCAGTGCTTTAATATTAGTGATCTATTATTAGCTTTACAGTAAATTGCTCGGAATTTAGAAACTTCTTGAGGTTTTCTAGTTGCAGCTGTTGATCGAAGGAAGATTTCAGTTGTAATTAGATTCAGAACTAAAAAGAGAACTAGAAACTTCATGATTACAACCTTCTACAATAAATATTATGACAGAATTGAACGCAAAATGTCAAAAAAGCATTTATTGATCAAATTTAAAATGCAAATTTCCTGTGCAAAATTATTTATAATTGTTAAAGTGGCTTTAACATCATTTGACACACTTAAATTTAGTTCATGGTTTCCACTCAGATTCAATAAGTTTCATGAAAAAACCAAATTTTGCAAACAAGAGGATAACAACTAGCTTAGCTGCGAATATAATTCAAATTTCAAATGATCGTAAGTAAATTATCAAAAAATTAAACTTTTCTAATTGATAATTTTGCAGCTCTTCGAAAGAATTCTTCAAAGTGCATCCTTTTTAATTTCCTCATTAATTTTCAACGAGAAAATCATCTTGTCATCCTTAAAAACTATCACATCGAATCGATAAAGTCCTGCTGGAAGTGCATCATACATTTTTATCGATGTAGTTGAGAAATTTTTAATTTCTAGAACACCATCATATGGACATTGTCGAAACAATTCCTTTGCTACAGGATTTTCTTTGACGACTTCAACCACAACCTTCATAAATGGATTTGAATTGGTCGTTTCAATAACTGAACACCATTCTTGTTTGCCAGAATTGACAACTTCGCGATATCCTGATCCAAATTGATAGTTTGAGATCAATTGGACATACACTGGCTTTCCAAGTGGATTCACGAACTTAACGCCAAGATTGAGGAACGATGTTTTTCGAGAATAAGGCTTAATGTAGCAATAAATAAGCTCTAGTGTGCTATTGTCAACTTTACATTGAACACCACGGTATCTTGAGCCTTCCACAAATGATTCTTGATTCTTCTTCGATGATGCAGTTGTCGAAAATATTAATGTAAAAATTAGGATCAATACTAAAATCGACATGCTTTCTAATCTATGATGAATTTTGATTTACAAAAATTTTGATTTTGGAATTTTAGTTCTGAATAAAAATTTACACTAATTTTGAGGTGTAATTAAGCTACTTACACTAGATTTCAAATAAATTTTGTTTATATTTTCAATTTAGGTTTAATTGCGGTTCAAAACATAACAAGGTAAAAATTTGGATACACAAAATATTACAGCAATTTCAAGTATAATTAGAGATCAATTAAAATTATAATTTTTTAAGTTGAAGGAAGTTAATGATTACAAATAATCAAAGTTAAACTTAAATTCAGTTAACTAAAACAGCATTTGACTATGAATCTATAATTGAGAAGCAACAGCTAGCTTTAAAACTTTAAATCAGCAATTCTTTTTGAAAAAAAAATCTTTTTCATCTCATTTAACATTTCTTTCTTTCCATTTCCTTTATGGACTATAATTCACTACATTTACGTCTTCATTTCACAATCAATTATGTATTCACCAAGTATTAAACGCAAATTTGGTGCTTTTAAAAAGAAATCATCATTATAAGCACGATTCGTACCGTTAAAAAAAAGTTAATTTTTTATGCTCGCTTTACGCCTGCTTCTTCCTTGAATCATCATTTTCTTTTTAATTTCTTTTGTTTTATTTAAAAACACGACAAAAGACGAGAACGTATTCAAGCATTAAACATATTTATTTGTCTATGTGCCACTGTGCGTGTGTACGCGTAAAAGTGAAATTGTTAAAAAAAATTTGTTCTTGTATCTCATTAAAAGTATTTCCTTTCTTACTTCCTCATTTAATGAGAATGCCACCTGGAGACATTTCCTTCCTCGCTTTCCACTTTTTTCTGTACTCAACATCTGCTTCCTACGTTAATTTTCATCATTTTTTCTTTATTAATATTTCTTTTTATTGTTTATCTATGTCTTTGTATGTTTATGCTTTGTTAAATAAGAGAGCTTTTTTGCATTTCTTTATAAGAAATGATTTGAACGGAGCTTATTGTTGTTTTTTGAAAATGTCTAATTATTAAGAATTGCTTTAAAGTTTGATTGTTTAAAGGAACTTGAGTTTACACCTGCGTGATCCTATTATCTTATTACTGTGAATCAGTAGGCAGTAGAATGGAAGGAAAACCCAAATTCTGGGTTCTAGAAACAATTTATCAAACCAAGAACCGAATATTCAAATCAAGAACCAATTTATCAAACCCAGAACCAACTTCCAAGGTTTAAAACAACTTTTGAGAACCAACTTCAGAAATCCAGAACCAACTTTTAAAACATGCAACTAAGTTCATAAACCTAAAATTAGGTTCAGAAACTTAAAACTAAGTTCAGAAACCTAAAACTAAGTTTGAAAACTTAAAACTAAGTTCAGAAACCTAAAACTAAGTTCAAAAATCTAAAACTAAGTTCAGAAACCGAAATCTTAGTTCAAAAATCTAAAGCTAAGTTAAGAAAACCTAAAACTAAGTTTGGAAACCTATAATTTAGTTCAGAAACTTAAAAAGAAATCCTGAGTTAATTTCGAATTTGTCCTTAGGTTTATTTGTCTTTCATTTGAAACAGAATTGGATTTTTTATTCGTGCTGCATCGCGTTTGCAAATCATTAAGATGAACAAAACTTTTATCACAAACAGCTTCTTTTGATCAACAATAGATTCTTTAGAAAAGTATTTATTCGCATTCAATTCTTTCTTTTTAAAAAATCATCACTGCTTCGAGAAATTTGAACTGTATTTATTTATATTTGTTTATTTTTCCGCTCGCTATTGTCTTATTATCTTCACCGTCGTCTCTTTCATCATTAGAATTATAGAAAACAAAGACAGAAGAAATGAAAATGTATTTTTTAAAAAGAGAAGAAAAGCTGAAAATTTTCATATTTAAGAATGACAAGTGTGAGAAAAATTTAAAGAATGAAACTGAAAAATTTATTTTTAATATTTTTTTTCATCGCGCATCGCGTCATACGTTTAACTAATTTTATATCTTTTATATTCCTGAATTATGGATGTTATGAAATGAGTTGTTAAAGGGTGACATTAATTAAGATTTTATGTAAAAAAAAAATCCAAAAATATTTTTTTTGCAAATTTTTCACGGAAAATTCTTGTTTACAAATTTTTTGATCTTGTTTAGTCTTTTAAAGATTATAAATTGTATTATTTTTTAAGATTGGACATTTCTCACTACGTGACAATGTTGATTTTCAGCATAGATTAATGGACTTTTAAATGTAAATTTCTCAATTTGATTTTTTTGGCGCGAATTAATTCTTTAATTGATTCATTTGATCAAAGCTATTAGGTGAAGGTTTAATTAGTTTAAGGTAAGGTTTTGGAACTGAAATATTATCCAGAACCATTAAATCTAAGATTGCAGAACTGAAAAATTACATTTTGAACATTTTTGATTGGTTTTGTTCATTTTTGAAAATTTTAATCAGATTGAACACCAAAAAGAATTTTGACTGCATTTGCACAACTTAATCATTTGTAAGTTCCTCAATATCTTCCAGCTACAATCTCAAGTTTCCCAATTTAATCAAAAATATCAAAGATTTTCATCAAAAAAAAAAACAATTCAGCAATTTAATTCCAATTTCCTCAACAAAAATATTCTAATGTCATCCAATATAATCTTCAAAAATGATTAAGACATTTGCTAAGCCTATTTTCATTCCGTTTCAAATTTATACGCATGTGATGGCAGACATTCACTTCCAAAATGTTTTTTATATGCCACAATTTTATCACATTTACTTTTTTTTCTTATACGTTCACTCAGCGATGAGAGAAGGTAAAGAATTTATTTTATTTAAATTCATGAATGAATTGAAAGTGGAAGAAAAGAAGGAAAGGAAGAAAGAATTACGTCAGCAATTTCCCTCCTCCCTTTTTTTGCTCCACAATCAAATTATTTACTCAACCTTGGCTTGTGAATTTGAAAAGAGAGGAAATGAATTTTTTGTTGAGAGATGTGTACGAGCATGTGTGTTGGAATTAGCGGTGAACATTTTTTGAAGGCCTATCAAAAATGACTTTTTTTTTGTGGAAGCGAAAAGTTTCAAGGACTCGATGGTTGGAAATTAGCTATGCAATCAATTCATGAGTCGCAATTTCTTTAAAAAGCATTGTGTGTCTACCTTTATGCCAAAATATTGTATCATGTACGCTTGTATGCTTTCTTTGTTCTGTTATTCCTTTTGACTACTTAAATTTGGGGTTATAGAAGAGGCACGAGTAATATTTGGTTTAGAGTCACAATAGCATCACTCAAGGCCAATGCTCTAGCTACTCCTGCTTAAATACTTTCTCGAAAGAAGACAAAGTAAGTAATTGAAGCTCCCTTGCTTCTCCAAAAGCTCTGTTCTTCCCAGAGCATTACCGATTATCAGCAACGAAATTAAGTCTATGGAAGTATGTCACTTAATATTTTACATACCTAGCACCTTCCCCTCTTATAGACAAGCTTATACAAATAAACAATCCTTATTATCTCTAAGCAAAAAAGTACCTAAATTCTCAATAAAATATGAGTCATAACTTTCCAATCACGTTACAGACATTTAAATTTTTAAATTCCACTAAGGAACCGACAGCAAAAAATTTCACGTACTCAAAATTTATTCGCAACAAAACGCAATAAATTTCAGATATTTTTACATGTTTATAAGCCTCGAAATGCGCAATGCGAATGAAAGTGAGATATAGAAAATGTTTAAAGCTTAAAGTAAACGTTGCTTCACTTCCGATCCCTTAAAACGTATATGTCTCATATGATAATACATTCATGTTAAAATAGAACATCTTCATCGAAAATTCTCACACGATTTTACGCAAACGTTCGCACATTTTACACGTAAATTGTATCTACGCATGTAAATTTATATCGAAAAATAAACAAAAGAAGGGTTGAATGTCAACATAAAAGAAAAGCTTAAATGAAGGAAAGTTGTGACTGTATATGGCTGTACATACTATTGTGGATGGGGATTTTTATAGATGAAATTCAATTTATAATTAAATTTTGTAGCTCAATCTACACAGTTTGGATAAAAAATGAGGTAATATTGCGGAATAATTCATAAACAACAGGAATTG